TTTATATTATTCTTAGTTCAAGATGTGTCCATTTGAACGTCACTTGTAAACTTAGGCTTACAAGTTAGAATACTGTACAAGTTGTGTGTAAAAACGTTGAGGAAGAAATAAAGTATTTTGTTTTCGTTACATAGCCTATACGTTGAATTATTTTCACCAAATAATCAAAAAGAGCCCGCTAATCGAAAGAATAACATTACAACACTGAGGTCAGAAGTTTAATCGTTTATTTGTTTGAGAGCAAATCCACATTGGGATATCTGCGAGGAATATAATTTAATTAAGCATTGTAAGTTCATAGATTTACCGCTGTCCCACTGAGGTACAATATCAGAAGTAAGATTAATTTGTGATGATAAAATAGAATGTTGAATAAACTTCAAGTGTCGAGATAATCTCATGAGGTAACATCAGAGATTTATTGGAGCTAGTGAACCCTATCGAGACGGGTAGCTAAGGGTCAGAGGGCATGTCATCACGTTTCTATACTTACATTCAAAAATTTATTAAGCTACTATTTTATGAATGTATGTCAATAAACTTGGTATGAAAATGTAGATTTTATAATATAAAATAATAAAAAAAAATCCTAAATATCGATTTTTGTCTGTCACATTGGTAAGTCATTTTTTTGGGTTTGGTCAGATTACATTTTATGATATCCAAAATACATCGTCTATAGTGTCATTCGAATAATATACTAAAATGTCCGATACTGGCAATTTAGAATATAAAACAAAAACCCTCTACTTTTTCTATTTGCTAAGAAATCATATCATTTATCGAATCAACCATATTTGCTCTGCCCATCACATCACCATTTGAGAAGACTTGTTTATCTACGCTTGCTTTTCTATATCGACCAACAATATCGCTTATTGACCAACAATCAAATACGTATCAAGCTTACGTTTAATGTAATAAATAGTAAATGAGAGACCACTGAAATCTTAACATAGTGTGTGGTCAGATTAACCTGCTGTTAACTATTTGATACTTCGCATTGAAGAATCAAACTTTTAACTCTAAAATACATTATGTATAGTCATCGAAAAAAGTTAAAAACAGTTAGGCATCTAACATGAGCTTTAATTAGAATAACTTATTGAGGGAAATTCTAACCTTGAACCCCCAAGTTTAACATAACAGTAAATGTACAATGTTTCGACAAGGTTTTGTCACCATCAGGTGTACTCTGTACTCTGCTTACCACGGGCATCAAAACCTGGTTTCTAGCGTTGTAAGTCCGCGGAGATACCGCTGTGCCACTGGGGGTGGGGGAAGATAAACTTACTGTACAATTTCGCGGCTAATCTATCCAGTAACTGAATATACGCAATATCTAACACTGATCCAAATATTTCACTGGCACCTTACCATTGAAAACAGAGATGACCAATTCACTATTAGCTTACTAACGGAGTGGTTCACTTATTCAGAGTTAGTGATGTGGAGAGGAATTCTCCGAAACTAATTTAACCCTATAACGCACGTTGATCAAAGTGTAGACTGAAATAAACCGCCCTTGAACTTAGACTTCGAGATTAAACAACTTTCAGAATACTGAGTTTAACTATTATATCTGCTATTGTGCGGCTATATAATGTGAAGAACTGAATAATGGCTGATGACTCTTTTTCTTCACTTCATCTATCTCATAGTGACTACAAAGCACGTTCACACCAATTGTATGTTCAGTTCATTTATATAGATGTCTGAAGTCTTATTCTAGACGTTTGTTTAAGTTACTAGCTTTTCCTGACATCATCTAGAAGAATCAAGTCCCACTTTTTAGAAACTT